CACTTGTTCATCTTGCCGGTTTGACAGCTAATGTCAAATCGGCTTCTGTTTCAGTGTAGTTTTCTGTTCGAACGCAAGCGTTTTCTCAGTATGGTCCGCAAAATTAAAAAAACAATTCTGCCACGAACCAGTTTCTATTTTGAATCTAACATTTTGTGTTTTTTTTTTTAAATTATGGAAACTCCAATATATCATATAAAACCGTAATTTTCTCTCATACAACTCAATTGGAAATGGAAGAAAAACAATTTTTTTAAATACGGGTTTAATCTACCGAAAGAAAGCTATTTTTTTGTCTTGTGTGCTTTGACAGAATCGAAACATTTTTATTTATTTAAAATTCAAATAATTATTATTATTTCACCACACAACACAATAACGACTATGTTTGACACTGCATTGAATACACTCATCAATGTAGTTCCCGTCAAAATGTGTGGCGTTGTTGGTTTGACGTTTAATGATCGAGACTATCGCGGTAAGTACAGCCAGCACTCACACGATAAGGTGTGATTCAATTGCACAACGGTTTTTTTCGGCCTACCATAAATCATGTAAACATAGGTTACACATTACATGATTGCTGTGCCCGGGAATGGTGTCACGAGATTTTATGAGAATTATTCAAAATTACCTTTGAGAGCAGCTGCATGAAGAGGTGTCTCATGGAGATTATCCTCACTATCAACAATGGCTCCTTTACGGATGAGAAGTTCAGCAACATTCTTGTGACCTGAGAAATAACACAGATCGATGAAAAAAGAGATCAATTCAATATTTTATTCAATCAAAAACAATATTCAACATTACCATGGAAAGCAGCTGAATGAAGAGGTGTCACCTTCAAATCACCTTCAATATTAACATCGGCTCCTTGATCGATGAGTTTTTGAACTTCCTTCACATTACCTGAAAAATAATGCAGACCAATGAAGTAGATTGAACAAAACATTTTTTTAAAACATAAATACTCAAAATTACCAAACTGAGCAGCTTTATGCAGTACTGACACTCCATATATGTCTTTTTCGTTTACTAAATGTTGACAAAATAGAAGATCAGTGAAGTGATTCGGAAGAAAATGTTGCGTACAGTGATGCAGTGTGCTGTGTGAGTGAAACTTGATAAAGAAATGGAGCTTCAATCTTACCGTTTCTCCCAGATGGTGCTCCACTCACATCCACGATCAGGAACTGTGGAAATAAAACAAAGTGATTGATGCCCGTTGTAAGTGGTTCGGATATAATTAAAGGGAATGGGGAAACGTATGACAGAAAATGGGAAAACGTATGACAAAAATGGGTGGAAACGTATGACAAAAGATGGGAAATCGTGTGTCAGCAAATTGGAAAACGTATGACAGAAAACAGGAATAAGTATGA